ATTATTATTATTATTATTATTATTATTATTATTATTACTATTATTATTATTGTCATTCGTTTTATTGTTGTTTACATTTCTCTAGTGCCATTATGTTGTTTTTTGAAATTTTTTTTATTGTTAATTATAATAGATAAAATTGATTTATTATAAAATATAAACAAATTTGTTTATTTTTCTGTTTTTTTAAGTACTAGTGAGATAAAAGTACTTATTCATATAAGAATTATTTATTAATTTCAAATGTAAAACAAGCTGAAAAATATTAAGAAGTTATTAAAAAAATACATAAATTATGTTAATTCTTTCAAAATTTAGTAAAAATATTTCGATGAAATTTCAAATTATTCGCAGGTTGTAACATAATCAAGTATAAGAAATGATTTAGAAGTTACTTTTAGATCATTCAGGTTATTTTAAAAGAAGTTTAAAATTTAAATGCTTTTTAAATTTTAATAAAGTAAAATTTATGATAAATTTAAAAACTATCTTACCAGTTTGGAACATAATTAAATTTCTTAATTGCAATTTTTCTACGACTGGCTCAATTACTCGGTGAATCAACTTTTTATTTATTCAAATAAAATTAATACAATGAAAATTTTAAAGGATTTCAAGAAGGAATAAGCGTTAAAAAATATTTTGCCACAAGTTTGTCTCATATGGTCCATACATAGCAATCAATCAATCAATCAATCGATCAATTAATCATTATTACTCTTCTATATGATCCGAAAAAAAAAGAACATAATTTTAATAATTCCATTTTTATGTTATTTGCGCTTATTTCACCCAATTTTCATTTCAAATTTAATTATACCATTTCCATCCTTACCAATAATTATTCGCCCAAAACAAAAATTACCCAGTTTTCGAGAAGTTATTTAAATTAATAAATTATGAATTTTCAAAAGATCAATTATTATTAATTATGTTAATTTAAATGAAGAAGGCTATACGTTATCCAAATATCATTGATTTATTAGCTGATCAAAAAGTATACTTAGCGGGAATTCTATAAGTTTCTATTTGAATCTTTATCTTATTCATTTTTTTATTGATTTTTTTTATGCTGATATATTTGTGTAATAATTATTTTATATTATTTATTCGGATTAGATATAGCTATTTTGTTTGGGAGTTTTTATTTTAAAATTAAACTCAAATTTGTATTTTTCTTAATTAAATATTTGGAATAGATATTCATTAGGTTTCCTTCTCTATTAAAATTTAATTTGGAATTATGATTTTTTTCATCGTAATTTGATTTTTTAAGTTTAATTCCAATTGATTAATATGATTCCAAGCGGTCAATGAAATACGTCGAAAATTTCGAACGATTCATCAAAATCTATTAACTTAATTTTATCCAGTACTAAAAAATGATAATACAGAGAAATAGGAAGAAAATCAGTCCTAGTATAAATTGAAATTTATTAATATAATGATATCCGTAATGATTTTATACTTGATAAATGAATAAGTGAATACGTACTGATTACTATAATTTAAATTCTAGCTTTAATTTAGTAGATGATATTTGATATATTTTTTAATCAAATTGGATTATTCAATAATTTGTAATTTAAAATGAATTGCAGAATCATTTTCCTAACATTTTATTTGATTTTTTTGATAACATCAATTTAAAAATAAATTTAATTCATAAAAGAAATTTACGGTGATTGAAATTTTATGATAAATATGAATGAAAATCTCATGGTGCTTCTTTTCCATGTTTCTCAAAATTCATAAAAATAAATGGATTTAATTTTTTAGAAAGATTTTTTAATCTCATTGCATAGTTTCAATAATGTTAATTTAAATTTCACTTTTTACGTTTAATACTACAAAATAGATGAAATATTTATGACATCACCAAAATAAAGAAGTATTTGTGGAGTGTGAGCAATTGATTAATGAATTATTAATTTGAATTGAATTCTTTTCTGGCAAAAAGTTTTAGTTTTCCAGTTTTTCTTTTTTGAATAACTTTTTCCCTGCAAATTTTATTTGATATCGTAATATGAGATAAAAATAAGACGAATTAGATAATATTGAATCATCACGATGAAATGGATACATTGTAAAAGTTTTTGGTAATTTGATAAGATAACTACCATATGTTAGGTTGGAAAAAAGCAAAGTATTAACGAATACTTTTGCAGTGATTACGGTAAATTTTGTTGTAATTTCAGCAAAAAAGAAATGCATATATCACCAAAATAAAGTGATATTTGTGAAATATAAACAATTTATTAATAAAATATTAATTTGAATCAAAAATTTTAGTTTTCCATTTTTTTAAAAATAATTTTCGGATTTTAGAAATTGTTTCTAATGGATCATTGGATAATAAGTAAAATTAACTTTTAGCTCGAGTTCATCAACGTTTGCTGAAAATGGCAGCAAATTCTGCATCGGGTAGTATGACATCATTAGAAGCATCACCAGTAGGATTTTCCGGTTATCGACCAACAAGTAGTACAATACATTCGGTAACTGGAACCGGTTCAAGTAGTGGTATGGCAACGGTAGCATCACATGCAAGCGCTGCTGCAGCATCATCTGCATTTAGTGCATCACCTTATTTTACCGGTCATTTTGGTAATAGTTATCAACCAGCACCAGATTTTTCAAGGTTATTCATAAAATATATAATATTAAATTAAAAATAATATTAAATTAAAATTTAAAGTTTTGAAAATTTTCGACAATTTTTTTTTCTACAAATATACAATACATTTAATTTTAGCAAATTGTTAATTTTTCTATATTTAGCTATGTTGCAAATGCACCATCAGCTGCTGGTTGGTATGGTACGCATGATCCACGACTTGGTCTGTTTTATCATTAACAATTAGCATTTTATTTTAATTTAAATTCTTATTATATTCCATTATTTATTATCTTTGAAAATATTAGTTCTAAACAAATAATTTGAAATTTTAATTTTTAATTTCTATTATTAATAAAATTTTTTTTAAATTTTCCATTATTTTTACCAATTATTAATAAATTCCATTACTGATTTAAAATTTTAATTTTTTATTAGTGAAATTCTAATTTTGATAGGACAGAAAGTTTCAATTTTCTTTTATCAAAAGTAAAAAATTGCCGCCATTTCTTATTGTAACAAATGAGAGCTAATTAGCAAATACATTTTGTGTACTATACTCCGTTATTAATAAGAAATAGTATGTATGTGTGTATACGTGTGTGTGTGTGTGTGTGTGTGTGTGTGTCTGTCTGTCCATGTCAGTATGAAATTTTACTATTGATTTTATCTAATTCAATATATAAAAAATGGGAAAGTTTTGCGTCATTTCTTAATTCTTTCAAATGAGTTTTGTGTCATTTCTTAATTCTTTCAAACTTCGAATTCGATGAAATTTTACAAATTCAATAATTTGCATATTCTAAAATATTTGTTAATTATTAAAAAAAAAAAACGATATTGCATCCAAAAAATTGAAGGAATGAAAAAGGGAAACAATCATTTTTCTTTTAATTATTAAAAAATAACGAATATAGTATCAGAAATCAATAAATGATTGGTAGAAGAAAACATTAATAATTATAAGCATGATTTATTCACTTTTTCATTACTAACTTGAAAATTTTGAAAAAATTTTCAATTATTTTCAATAATTAAATCGTCAGATTACTGGATTAATTTAAAAATTAATTTAAATAATTAATAATCAAAAATCATGCTTAAGTAATTTTAGCAAAAATATTCCAAATTTTGAAATATTTAACATTTTAAAATTTCGAATATTTTTCACTAAATCCTCTATCAATTTCATTAAATTGTCATAACTAAAAATTGTACTTTTTTGTTTTACCCTTTTTTTTTAACAATTTAGGCTGGATCTGTCTGATTAGAGCACCTTTAATTAGTATTAAAATAAAATATCCTTTTCGGTAACATCGAATGATGATCATAATGATAGTGGTACTCCAAAATTTAGGATCTACTAGAAGTGGATAAAAAAAAAAGTGGTGGATTATCCGAGTTCTAAGTTCTTAAACTTTATTTATTACCTTATTATCATCTGATTAGGCTTACTTATTATCTTATTAGCACATGAATAAGTCTACTTTTACCTACCATTCTGATCATTTCAGTAATAATTGAATTAATTTTTTTTTTTTGTCGTTTTATTTCCTTCCTTTGGCATTTTATATATATAGAAGAAAAAAATTTTTTATTAATTTTTCATAAATTTAAATTTTAGCGGTTTTTGTTTTCAAAATTTATCATTCAAATAATTATATATTTCTTACACTTTCCTTCTCATTTTTTTTCATTTGTCTTTATTTCCTCCTTTTATATTCTTTTAATAATTTTTGCGTAATTACTTGATTAGCAGTCAATTAATTAATTACTGCATTAATGATTAATTAATCACTTGCCATAAAATATGTTTTTATAATGTTTCCTTATGAAATCTGCAATAATTTTAAAACATTAAATTCAATTCCTTTTCTAATTTTAATCTTAAATCATTCTATTATTATCATAATTTCTTATTTTTTTTACTTGCTATTAAATATACCTAAAATATCGCACAAATATTTGTTTAATTAATCATTTTCTTCCTTGTTTAATCCTAAATCGATAATTGTCAAAATTCAATATTTTTTGAATTCATTAATAATTTACTTTCATTACTCATTTATAATTTACTCTTACAAGTTTTACAAACTTTCCTTCCTTTTACTTCTTTCTCCTCCACTTTTCTCTCTCTCTCTCTCCCTCTCTTCCCCTCTCCCTCTTTCTTTCTTTCTTTCATCCTTAATTCTATTTTTTCACAAACCAAAATAAAGTTGGAAACCGGAAATTGAATGAAATGTTAAAATTTTCTCATCCCTCTTCTAACCCTGTCATATTTGTCACCTAAATCAATTATTTGTATATGGAGTTCTCTTTCAAAATTTGCATCCAATGATGACAAATCAAAAGACGGACAAACATTAAATAAAAATACACAAAGTAAGAGTGGTATAATGTGATGAGGAAGTTTAAGGAAAAGATATCAAATAATCGGTTAAAGTTTGATGATTTTAACCACAACTATAAATTTCCAATGAAGGAATACAATTTAAGTATGATTGAGTAAATATATATATCTGATATGGTATTATGGGGACAATATAAATGACTGGTAATGACACACACACACACACACACACGCACACACATACACACGCTTTCAATATCTTACAGTAACCCAATTGTGGTATTGCGATTAAATATTAGGCAAAGGAAAAAAAAAATCGAAGTTTGCAAAAAAAAAGTTAAAAGATTTGCATATAATTATTTTAAAAATTCTAAAAAAAGTTTGATTACGATGAAATCTATTTCTATCACTTTCTCAAATAAAAAAAAAGGTAAAAAACAACAAAAAAATTATAAAAAAAAGGTTCAATTAGTCTTTTTTTAATTATTACTCAACAAAAACAAAACAAATAAAGTTGTAACACTAAAAAATTTGTTTTATTTTTCTTTTTTGAAAATTTTTTAGAAGAAATAATTTAAAATTGAGGATAATATTTTCATAAATTTCAATTAATTTTTTCTTTTCCATCTCAATTTACTTAATTGAATTCATTTAAAATTACATTTTACTACGATTTTAATACATTTTTTTTTGTAAATGAGTATTTTGTTAGAATTTTTTAAAGTAACTGTAAATACAATTCTTTGGAATTTTCCATTTTTGCTTTCCTTTGCAAATTTCAATTCCAATTTCTTTTTCTTTACAAATTTCAATTTGATTTTTTTTTGATTAGTTTTTTTCCTTTTTACCTAACAATTTGAATATATTATATTTTTTTCTTTTTCAATAATACTAATATGTAACATTTAGTGCTTCAAATCTATCTAATTAATTTCGCAAATCAACCAATTAACAACATATTGATAATTAAGTAATTAACGGTACTGTATATCGTGGAATAGAGGCAAATTACATGGTGAAATGATCAATTATTATTGAATAAGTAAATGATTAAGTAAAAAAGAGGAAAAAAAATTTCGATCATCATCATTCATCATAATATGATCAAGTATGAATGAAATGAAATGATTTACAAACCCCTGCTGATGTATTTGTCATCCTCTTTTATGAATGTGTACATAGGTATGTACAGGTATGTGTGTATATTTTTGATAACTTGTATAAGTCAGGTGCACGGGAATCAGATTGAGAAATGATGAAGAAACAGCAGGATACCAATTATAAATCATAATAAAATGATGAAAGTTTCATTAAACTATAAATACATTACAAAATATTTCCCATTGTTTTTTTCTTTTTTTTTAAATCATTGATTTTTTTAAAATTAATTTGAATATTTTTTTTTCAATAAATTGTTTATTTTTCAGTAAGTTTTTATTGATAATTATAAACAAATTGCAATAAAAATGCTATTAAATTGAATTAAATAAATCATATTTAGATATTTTTAAATTAATTACAAGTAAGAATTTATTTTTCTTCTGTTTATTGCAAATGAATAAACATATATGTACGCACCCTATTTTATATATATATATATATATATATATATATATATATATATATATATA